AAAGAGTGATAAAATTTTTACTGTTGATTACATGCCGTCAAAGACATTTTTCGCCGGGAAAAAATTACTCTCTGTATAACCCGTTCTGCTTTACTATAGACAAACTTCCAGTAAAACCAGAACTTTTGGATGAAAGAATTCCCTTGAAATATATTATTCACGTGCCTTCGTTAGCAGCTATATGTATGGTACGGTCGTTATGTGCCGTTGCAATACTAAACCTTACTAATTAAACGAATTTCGAATGGTAGTGGATGCAGGTCGAATATTTCTTAATGCATTTCGTTATTCTCTTTTTTTATCAATTTTCACGAGATTTCTTTTATTTGCCAACAAGAAGCATACCCGAATTAACAATTAAATAACCGGTACGCTTTATTGCGAGAGTTGTATATTGTTTTATCGTTTATTTTCGTACTTGGTCGTCAAATGAATCCTCTTTGCTTTGAATCAAATACGTCAAATTTCGAAGATCTAAGAAGCAATTTATCAGTCTGCAAGTGTTCAATTTTTATGTACTCTGTCCAACTGTAAACGTTTATTTATTGGCGGATGGCATGACTCTTGAATAACAAGTTCGCATCTTTGAAACATCTCTGCAAATGTCAGGAAGATTGGCTTCTCTTAATTGCGATTCACTTCTAAGATGATTTTCGTTTTATTTCTTTTATAGTAAAAGTAATAAATTCATCTTTTGCTCTTGACAACTGTATGAACTGCATTTTCAGGTTCTTTTCCATAAGTGAACCCTTTATTAAGTAATAAAAACAATTTTTTATTAACAATTTTTCAGTTAATTTTTACTGAAAAAAGAATATATACCTGTCTTAGTTATTTATGTGACAAGTAACTTTATTAACTACCGTTTCATAGTCCAAGGACATAAAGATTTTCTAGCTATTTATAAGCTAACAATGGTACAAAGTAGAACCTAGTTTATCGAAATCAAAGATGACACAGAGTTGTTCAGATAATTAAATTTTTGGGACAATCGAATAATTATTTTTGTATTAAAGATCATTGATCATTTATAATACAGTAAAATCTTTAATATCCGAATTAATTGGGAGACATGCATGCTCGGATGTAAGAATTTTTGGACAATAGAAGACGTGCACTTTTTACTGTAATCCATGTATAGTTCAAAATAAAGGACCATAAATTTGTATGTATAACAGCAATGACAGATAATAAATTTAAACCTAATTTACAAGGGAATATATTCAATCCGTACACACCAAATTTTATGAAATTTATATAAGGAATAATTTTCAAAAAAATATTTTGATACGTATCATTGTTATATTTATATTCTACTTAAGCATGTAAGTATTCGAAACAGGTATAAAACTACAACTAGATTAAATTAAAGAATCACAGATTGTACATTTTATCACATTTAAACTGTTTCGACGTGGAACAAGGAAGACACCGTTATAATCTTCCAACAGCCAGGTTTTTAGAGTCAAAAAACAATTCGACATTGGAATTTTCCTATCCATGTCTTCTACATTGGACGAATGTTACAGAGTAGCAAAGTATGACGCAGGATAAGTATCCTTTTGTCGTCATACATATTGAACATACTTTTCCACGCGGCTTCGTAATTGTCTTCGGACATCGAGAAACCCTTTATGATCTCCTTTGCGCTACCCGTGACAGATCGCTGCAGATAGTGAAATTTCTCCACCTTGGTCAGTTCGGGATGTTCGTGAATGAGTGTTTTGAACGAGCCCTTAAAGGCCAGCCACGCCTCGATTTCTCCGTCGAACTTCGGCATATCGATGGTCGGCAATCGTACAGACGTCGACGGGATGAACGCGGATGGCGTGGGTGACTGGAGATTTGTTCGCGTAGACCCTCCGGAACTTTCTGTACCCTCTATTTCGTCCAGTAATAACCGGCTGCAGCCATTACATCGTCGTAAGTGTCCGTGATCGCGTTTCCATCGCGCTCCACTTGATCGAAATTGCCGAGCAATCCGATTTTAGGCTTCATTGAAGGCGTGGAATTGTTGTCGCAACCGCTCAATTCGATCGCGAAGCTTTCTTCTCTCCATTTGAGAGTCGCGTACGTCTCGACATATTTTGACATTAACACGCCACAAACACTTCGAAGCATGGCGAATCACGTACAAACACAGATGAAGTCGTTAGCAGCATTGGGCAGAACCTGGCAAAAAATCGCAAACGACATTGTGTCCAGTCTCGTGATTATGAATCTGGGGAAGGAAACGCGCCGTAATTGGGATCTGAACAGGTGCAGCACCGAGCTGCCCACCGTCGATGAAACGACGAGGTTCATCACGGAAGCGGCCAATAGGACTTTAATAAGGGAAAATCGAGATGCACACTTCTCAACGGAACCCCGAAGAGAACTCTTCTAAACGAAACCTCGAGGAGAACAGTTCGAGCCTACCAATCGAGACCTCCAAGATTACTATCGTCGTACCAGAATCTAACGTTTGACTCCAGCCGTGATCTTCCTTTTGCTCGTGCTAATTGAAATAGTTGTCCAATATTAATTTAACGGGCAACATAACGAGATCGCGAGACAGCTGTACACCCCATCGGAATTTCCCCTAAATTTAATCGCGACACGACATAAGCCATCCTATTATGTCAACATGACCTCAATTTTCGTAGTTTGGTACTATATTCGCAAAACAAGTTTCATATATATTTATCGTAGTATTTCATATATGCTATTTTCGATTATTATGCTGCGCTGCGATCGATGTACCATGGTAGATTACGAATTTGAATTAAAATGTTTACATACAAAAAAGATTTGGCATAACTTTTGGACGACAAAGGTTCTGATAAACGAGGTTTGACTGTTTCGAGTATTGCCAGCAATACCATTTATTGTCTGTTACAATATATGGTAGGATTGTTGTATTAAGATAAAATAAATTGCTTACTATTTTTTGTTATATTAAAGAAAGAATTGTTTATTTATTTCTAACCTTTTGCACTCTTAATTCGATATAAGGCAAAATTCCCATATTGCAGAATCTTTTGCGCTATAGAGGACCATACTGTATTTTTAGGATTCGTATGTTCATTGCTCTCAATAAGTAACTGGTGTCATAAACTTTGTGTTTTCGAAGGGCCAGCTGAAGCCTGAGCATAATAATTCTTAGTTCTAGAGATTCGAAGGAAATTTCCAAAATTTCGCTGAACCTTCGCGTGTTTTTCAAGTCTCGCCAACCATTGCTTTAATTAACAAAAGGAAACCTAAAAGCTATCGAAGCATTGTGCTCATCGTTCGGGTCTTGATATTTGAATCAATTACACAAAATGCCATAGAGTTGGCTCAATTGTTACGTGCAGTTCAGATATGGCTTACCATTTTCTTGCAAAAACGCGCCAAAGTATATGAAAGTATATCTATGAAATTCTCTAAATATGCTGATTAGTAATTTAGTAATTGCATTTAAGGAGAACCCATTAACAAAAAGATAAACTTTTGTTTTAAAGAATTTTTGAAAAGCATATTAATTAATTTTTCATAACAAATGGAGTTATATTTTAATAGAAATTAGAAGAATATAGATAGATTCAAATAGTAAATTCAAAATTTGATTTGAAAAATAACAAATCATATTATAAATTTACTGTATTACTGCGTACCAATTAAAAATGGCCAGGTTATGTTACTGGTAATGGTACATAAACGATATCTAATCAGGAATGCACGATTGCCTAAATATTTGGCTAATTATTAGATTTATGTATATTGAACTCGTTGATCTGTTTTAAAAAATATTTTTCCCTTGTCGTTAATTGTAAATACATTTTTCTCTTTCTTTATTAAGTACGCCAAGTATTGCAAACATTTTTTTTCCAACTGCATTTAAATTTTTCAAATACTCAATTTCAATGAAACAGTGTGTACAAAAGCGTCAGATTGATAAAATTCGATTACTTTTGTTTAAAGAATGTTTGATTCTTTTATTTAACACTTTTATTTATTAATTTTATACACCATTTATATATCAACATTTTAGAAATAAGCGTTTGTTGATAACTCCAATAGCTTTCTCTACTTATTTTGTTTAGTATGTTAATTAATTAATGTAAGGATTGATTATTATTACCTTAAAGAGATTAATAGATCATAAAAATACATTCGATAAATTAACCAAATAAACTAAATTTATTAATTCTATATGTAAATATTTGACACTACCGTATATAAAAGGTGTGAATATTGTTAATAAAACGATAATTATAATTGAAAATTTGTTTCTTTATCGTATACAGCAAATCGATACATACCCAATCCTCTTGAATCCAATCGATCAGATTCTGCTGATCAGGATCTTCTCTATAGTGAATGATGAACGCTTGGAAACCACCAGTGGCTTGTGACTTTATCTGTACGTCAAATCAGCATGTTAAATTTATTCTTAACAATAGGAACAACGCACGAATCCAAACATGATGTGATTCGGATTATTTTTAATTATATATAAACATGATATCCACGGTTTTAAAACGATAACTTATTCTCTTTCCTTAATATAATATATATAAGTAATTATTACGCATTTTGTGAAAGAACCAAAGTTTGTGCAAGTTAGAACATTTAAATATCGTTAAATTATCGTTAGAAGTAAAATATGTAAATTTATCATATTTATTATTCAAATTAGGGTATTCGCGTATTCATAATCGAATGTTTACTATCCTTATGATTTCACAAATTTTAATCGTATCTACAGAGAACTAAATCAATACTAGAATATTGTGCCTGTGTTTATCTCTCTAATTTATGCTATGAATTTCTAATATGTATTCGTTTGGCATATAGGAGGGTCGCTATATTGAAAATGTTTAAAGAATAATACGAATAAATCTTTTAAAGTTGTTAATCAATATTTGATGTATTTGAATTTTATTTTCGGTGTATCAGACATTCACAACATTTAAAAATACCGTAATTTGATTATAAAGCTAAATGTATTTGCAGAATTTGCAGAGAGAGAGAGAGAGAGAGAGAGAGAGAGAGGAAAAGAGAAAGAGAGACAGATGAAAGATAATACATTAATCCACACATGAATCAGCATTTAATTCATCAGCAGTGGCGTAATCGTATTTCAAGCTTAATTGTATTTTATGCGATAAAGTTCTTCGATTTTATAAGTTAAAATCATCGCTATGTTAAATTATTTGCTGCAATCTATAATTGAAAATAAATCGAATGAAATCGTGTTTGGATTCATTCTACATTGGGAGAACTTCAGAAATTCATCAGTAATAATTCTTTTAAAAGCGGAACAAAAAGTGTAGAAATAAAAATTTTCGTTGACAAGTGATTCACTTAACTTCGAAACTTACAGCATAACACGTCGATTATTCGAAACATTAGAGAGACAAATTTGTTGTGATGAGTGATTTTTCGACTAATAAATTTATTGTACATTGTACAATTTATAATCCATTTACAATTTAAAAATTCAAATTGTAAATGTGTCGTAAATCGATAAAAAATGAAACAATATTTGGAAGATGAATCTTCATTCTGTGAAAGTACAAATGATAAACGAAATATAACAAACAAAATAATCGCTTTTCAATTATTCGTTTTTCAATCAAATTGTAACTATATTTCGTAGTCCTTTTGAAATATTTGAATGGCTATTTATTTCCTTTTGGGAGCAATTATTTTTCAATTACTTCATTTCGAAATTCTAATAGTTTGTATCAATTAGTACAATATTATATTAATACAATTAACATAGTCTAATTTAGTTATTACATATCTTATAATAATATTACATTTTATCACTAAATTGGATGTCTTTATATTCTTCTAGATGTTTAGTAATATTTGAATTTCTCTTCTAATTTTAGCTGCACGATTTTTGTTTGTAATAATCATGCTTTACATGAATTGAAAATATACAATATATGCTGAACAGAGACGAGACAGCGAATCGAAAATTTGCAGCACGAAGTACACATGTTTCAGAATGTAAATACTATTACATAGCATATAACTTGCAATACTATAGATGCGTCAGACACTCTGTGTTCAGACAATCGATTCTTCAGGTAACTAGTATTCACATACTCGGTGGTTCCATCAAGTGACATTAGAGTAAGCAACATGCTAGTCTATCTCTTTCATGAGAGTTGAACGTCGTGACGTTCACTTACTTGGAATAATTTGTATATGGTCGTTCCATTCGTGTAAGACATTTTATGAAAAGTCAACAATATATTCCAAATCTTGATTAACTAAATGATCACAAGATGGCCTCTACTGTGAACTTTCCGTTCTACAAGAAAAATATCATGAAAATGAAAAAAAGTGCATAACTAAATGGCCTAGGAACATGGCACGAAACGTGTTGAATTTGATAACCTAGCGCTATAAACTAGCAACGTAGGAGGTATCAACATTTTTATTGACGGATTATATATTCTAATTTTTATGTACGATAAGCGTAAGAAAATCTGAACATGTTCAAAATATATTTTTATTGATAAAAACTAAGAAACAAAGTACTTCGATATACAAAAATGTACAAAATTACATTTGTACATAATAAATACATGTATATATGCTATATATTTTCTAAATAAATATTCATAATGGCGATATTTATAATAAAATAGTTTGAAATGTTTGCGACAGATATTGGGAATCGTCTCAATTTGCATATCCATTTGATCTTATTTTTCAAAAGTCTTCTAAAATATTAACAGGAGATTTAGGGTGTTTCAAATAGTATCACTAAAATAAAAAACATTTATGTATAGTTATTCCCAAAAGTGCTGTATAATTTGAATAAAATACGCTTCTTTAATGTAACATTAATTTTGATCTGACAAAGACATTACTCGGGAAAAATATCTGCAATTTAATAATATATGAAATGATATTTAATATGTTCTAATTATTTTCACTTTTAATCTATATACCTTAAAAAGTAAGAAATATACAATAATTTCTAACTGAACATTTTGTTTTCTTATCGACTGTTTTCACCCATAAATGTATAGTGACAATGCACAGAATCTTTTTTAGATTTCTTTACTAATTTCATTGCAATATATTATGAATAAAAGGAAGATGAAGACGTTATATAAAAATAATAAAACATTTAAAAGTCTACGCGTATATGAAATTTTTACTTTACTTTGAGTGATAGAATATATAGTGAGGTAAGTTTTTGATTGATTGTTATGAAACATTGTGTGCAATAAACAAGTTACATCATGAATCTATGGAGAAATTTATAACCTACGTGAAATGCTATTGTGCAACTTTATAATTATATAGAACTGTTTATGAATATATTACATTTATTACTGATGAAATGATTACTGATCTTGTCAAAGATGTTTTACTTTATTAATGAAATATAAAAGTAAAATAAGTATATAAAATTCTATTGCATATATAAACGTGTACACACCTAGAAATTCTTAAAAACATATACATTTATATACAGATAAACTTCTAATAGAACTTACCCAGTCTTTAAAAACAAAGCTCAAAACACCGGCTGTCATCTCCATTAATAATAATAACGCCAGAAATATCGCATACTGGAATAAATTCATATAAAATAACATTGTAATAAATTTCAAATTTGCGCATAATATTATATAATACACGTGTAATTTTATACGATTTACATGTTGCAAAACAAAAGTATTCTGTTCAGTACACGCAGTGAAATACATTGAGTTCTAATAAAGTAACAAAACCATTAATTACTTTAATTTGGAAGAGAATATAAAGGAATAAAGACTTTAAAAATACCAGAAATTATTACACACGCATTAATTGGCGATCGAATAATAGAATTATTGATCAGGTAATAAATGATTATAGTGGAGTTGCATAGTTATTACATTATCTTACACTGATTATGTATCAAAGGCGTGATAAATGATAAAATTTGACACGTGTTTGTATCTGATGCATTTTAAGATTATATTATCGAATCATTACATATTAAGCAAAATAGCAATAAAAGCAACAAAGGAACATCTTGCACATCTTATATTCCACGTGGAAGATTCGTTGTGTTATATTAGTACGAAATAATTTAATACTATTACATATGTATGTGTATTGTAAAGGCTTAAAATATAGAACCATACAAATAATATCGGTTTTATAACATAAATATATTTTTTTTAATTATTTTTGTATTGGGAATATATTTAATTAATATTAACTTCTTTTGTACGATTGACAATTTTAGTTAATTACTTATTTTTATTTACAATACTCGTCTACTTATCTTTTGATATTCGTTATTTTAGTTCTTATTTATTATTTATTTATTTATTATTACCACAAATACACGAACACTTAGGTCGTTGTCGTAATTTAACTAGCAAATTTCATATAATATTCGACCAAATAATATTACGAAGGGTATATCTGTCATATCGAGAGGTTAATATTAATAATTTCGTTTGTTTACTTACTCAATGTCCGGTATCATGTACATATACGCAAAATATAAACTGTTTTCTCATTGACATACGTCCATCATAAACAAGTTTAATTACAATTTCAGATTATTGACTATTCAATTTATTTCAAACATTATTTTACACAATATCAATACAATGTACCTAGGGATTTAAATTATAAAATTTAACGTTATAGAATAACGTTATTGAAAGAATAAACTCATAATAAATAAAGAATTACTAAAATAATTACTACATTTATATAACGACACTTAATTTCTGAAAAACAAAATATTGTTGTCATTTGTTGTCATTTTCTTTCAACTTTGCTTCGTATGTGAGATGTATACTAGAGGAAACTTGAAAGCCGATTTGTAGTTTCATAGTAACAAAGAGAATAACCCAAGTGTTCTCTATACTTTTTAACGAAACTTTACCAGTTTGTGAAACTCCTAAACCGAGTTCGCTCAAACCTTTTCTTTCAACGTCAACGACTAATAGTTTATGACAATTAAAGTTAAACCGCGTTTTGTACTACAAAGCACGAGCCTTTTGAACAGTAATAATGATGACGCAGATTGAACGAGGTTAAAAATAAATTTCAGCACTTGCTTTTTTTTATTTGCACTCATTTTTTCACACAAGTTATAATAATTATAGCAATATTATTTGTAATACTATTATATGTACATAATACATAGGATTATAATAACATTATTTAAAAGAGATATAATTACATTAAAAATAGAAATTGCAAATTATTTATAGGTATATAGTATTAATAATTTATATACATTTTGATATTAAATCCAATTTTTACTCAATTTACATCAAATAATTGTGAAGTTTGCAATTATAATTTACGTAATAAAAATTTGTGTCGAGATAAAATCGACATACGATAAAAAGTAATAGGTACCGAACAACTGTACCACTATTTGCAAGTACGAGGTATGGTTTAACTTTAATCATTAGTATCTCATAAATTATTAATCATGTGCGACTGAAAGAATCATAAGAGTATTCGATTTGTGATGCCTATATATAAAGAATAATGCTTTTTTATGTGTCTATAAGTAATAAAAATAATTTACAAATATTTTAGCGAATATTTAAATGCTTACCGTAGCTAGGAGGCACGTATTTTCCCTGAGTGCACCGACACATCCCGTAAATCCAATGATAAATGTCAGTGTGCCTGCAACAAACGAAAAATTATTGTAGAATGGCAGAACTGGTCTTGAGACACCGAAAATTCACGAAAGAACAAGAACACAATAACACAAACTCGAAACTCGTAAACTGATTTAACTTAGG